TTGAGCTTCACAACAAAGCACCATGAAAGGCCCTTCGGACAGAAATATGTTCACCTTTGTGAGATCACAAGCCTCATCTGGCTTACATGTATAAATCACCCTGTTTTAAATCTCTTTAAGCGCATTTGTGTTCCATAAAAACATAATAAATCATAGTATTGCTGTACAGTATGTGGTATGTCTGAAAAGCAAAGATATGCTGTAACTGCAGGAACGTCCAACTGCTGTCGATACAAACGTCTGCAGAAAGTCAGCTCTCGACACAGCTCAGTGGTACCAGTAAAGGCTGGAAAACTGCTGGCTGGGAAGTTCCACCATGCCCCAGAAGCCGAGGCAGTGTACGATTTTGGGCAGGAGAGCGCCCACCAAATATTTCTCAGCAGGCAGCAGGTCTTTTCTACTGTGATATTTTGACAACATTTCCCACAATTTGTGAAAGGTGTCAACTCTTACAGTGCTAGTAAGACAGAAGCTGGCATAAGTTTGATGTATCTCTGCTTTTTTTTTCTACTAGCATAGGTATCACACACAGAAAGACGTGCTGAATGGGGTGTCCATTACTTTTAGAAAACACTTCAAATGGTGTCTTTATTGCGTTACCAGTAATGTGTTCTCCACTCCCCACATAGTTTCCTCAGCCGACACACGTTTTTCTTTGTCTTACACAAACATTAGTCTTAAACAAACTGCAAAGATGACAACAGCTTACTGCTGATTCAGATGAAGGTGTTTCATGAAATAGACACTGAAAAATCCTCCTCAGAGCATGAAGCCAACACTACAGGTTTACTGCCAAAAAGCGGTGGCTGGGTAGCAGGAACAGAAAAAAATGCTTTAAAATGATCTTCTAATCAAATCAACAGCAACATTTCTCTGTCTAGAATTTCATCAAAGAGAGAAAAGATGATTTTAATGTTAAAGTCAAGAGACATATATTCTCATCTCTGCCAACATCTCAAACCCTTGAACACCTGTTTACTTCTCTGCATCTCAGTTCCTTTATGTGGGTTTTAAGGCAGCCAATACTTACATTTACACACATTTAAATGTTATACACATATGTATACACCATACTGAGAACACAGCGCAGTTCAGTCTTAAAGCAGTTGAGTCAATTCACCTACTTAATTTAGTTATTTATACACAAACACATACATCTAAAAAGATAAGTGTACGTCAGACTGAGAATGCAAGGAGCCATCATGGAGGCGCTCCCAGGAATGGGATTTACCTCATTAAATATAAAAACATTCCACAAAGGAGTTTACTGTGCACTGCCTAAGTAAAGACTTATATCTCCTCAGGAGTGATGGACCATCTTGCACCCGCTGCAGATAAGCAATGCATGAGGGGTGTCTTCTGACTTCTGCACTAGTTTTGAATAACTCATGATACAATTCTTTGCCTCTTGCTCAGAAAGTTCTGTTCACTCAGGTTCATTCTAGCAAGTTGATGTTTTGGTAGTTCACTGTCCAGCTTTAACAGTGATCTAATAATGGGCCAACATTTTAAGTGATTACTAAACTGATAACAAAGATGCAACACAGACTCAGAGAATGCCAGGGGTTGAAAGGGACTTCTAGCAATCATCTAGTCCAGTCCCCCTGCCAGAGCAGGATCCCCTAGGGCAGCCACACAGGAAGGCGTCCAGGCGGGTTTTGAAAGTCTCCAGAGAAGGAGACACCACAATCTCCCTGGGCAGCCTGTGTCAGTGCTCTGTCACCCTCACAGTGAAAAGTTTCTCATCATGTTGAGGAGGAACTTCCCATGTTCTCAACTTAAACCCATTATTCCTTGTTCTATTGCTGGGCACCAACAACACAGTGCAAACTGATGTTAATTTGTGCACAAGCACAAATAGTTAAAAACCATTATATTGACATTGAGAACTGTTTTCCAAAGGGGTCTTTTTTTCACTAAACACATGGGTTTGCATCTACAAAATGCAGACATCCAAACATGAAAATCTTTGGAGAATGTTGTATAAGCCAGAAAGGCAGCGCTTATTAAATTCTTCTCTACACAACCTCTATAAAACCAGGTACTTCATTAAAGTGCAAAGTTAGTTTCAAATCCCAAGAAAGGCCTTTCTTATATGCACATTACAAAGTATTTAATGCATTCAGCCCATGCTGACAAATTTCAATCTGTTAACATTCATTTCTTTAATCCTACACACACTTCACCTGAGTAAAGGGATTGCAATGACCTTGCTCGATGTGTTTTTAAAATACTCCAGCTCACGTAAAAGGCCAACGAGCTTCTGCAGGTCAGCACTCTCCCTCCTGACAATTTCCATCCCGCCTCAGCCAGAAGTGTGTCTGTGGGTTTCTGTTTTGCTGATTGCATGAAGATGCCCCTCAGAAAACTTCAGATTAACAGAGAATGTGGAAACCACTATCTATGCTAAGCATCAGTACGCATTAATGTAGACCAAATGCTTTGATCCATTTAGAAATATCTCAGAATAGATGAACACTTTGAGATCAGAACTCAAAATTTCTTTAATTACTCCTAAGCAAGTACATTGCTCGTGCAAAGCTTCTGCACAGGAAGTGTTTAGCCACTAGTCCAATACATGCATGTATGAGTGTACATATGTAAGAAATCCTAATGCTCCTGTCTTGACCTAAATAAACACCATGAATTGCTAAAAAAGGAAAACCAAAACCGAACAATAACAAAAACCCCAACCCCCCAAAAACTCAAAATCAAACAAAACCAAGTCAGTCCAGTAAGGAAAATAAAAAGTCATACTCCTCGGCTATATGACCAATAGGACGTGCTTGCTACTTATCTTGAGTAGTTCAAGAACTTGAAAGGGACAATAAAACAAAAAATACTTAGCTACTCCATACTCCACTACTAGCCAGTTAGGGAGTGTTTCGACAATGTAACCATTAAAGGACCCAGACAAAGACAGCTCTGTAACAAGCCTGGCTACACAGCTTGCAGAATTAACATCACACAATTATATCAAATACTAGAACGTGTAGTTTCTATCAACCAACAATTACTGTTACTTGCTATATATGGTAGAAACGTCCTCCTACAATTCCATTCAGGTATCCTCAATTCCAAAATACATTAGATTCAGGAAAAATATACTCCTGTAAAAACTTAAAACTACAGAGAGTCAGAAATATTTGCTAATAAAGGCATAGCTCATTACGAAACCTGCTCCAGAAATGCACCTAAAGAATCCTCTTGAATGCTCCTGCTTATAGAGAGAGAAATCCTAGTTCTGAAAATGTACAGCTCTCAGAGTAAAGATTACTAAATTAATTTTAATAATGAAGTCTGACTGATACAAAAAGGGTTCCCCAGTTAATCCTCTGTCACTCACCCCACTGTATCATCACTTAGATAAATTACGTTAGCAATCTCTATTAAATTCAGTGGGGTTTTTGCTCTTTACACTGCATCTGGTGAATTCCTAAAATAGTAAGGAACACAATAACTCTAATGTAAGAAAATCCTACTTTTCTGTAATTTACTGTTCCTTGTCAGAGAACAATTATATAAACCACCATCCACAGCACCAGACAATCAGCTGTTACGTTCCACTTCGAAGACACGTGAAATCTTTCCCAGCTCTCTAAAAGCATGCAAATTTTACAAATGCAGTAGATATATTAGGACTGATATTTTTAACTTTTGAGTTTTATCTTCACCTCTCAAAAACTAGCTTGCTGGGCAAATCATTTTAGAGAGATTGCACCTTTTAGCTGGGATATGAAGTGCAGAAAATAACAGTAAGACAAGCCTTAATTATGCTCACACATAAGTAGGAGCTAGATAATACAGGTAGCCAGACGTGAATATTACACTTACAGAGTATTTGTATAAATTACAAGGATAACTGAGGACATAATTTTAAAACTTTTTTTTTTTAGTCTACAATCCTCTAATTTGACCACTGTATTTTTACTGATCTTTTCCATACTTTCATTTTGCCACTCTGATACTCCACGAAACAATGCAAAATCAAGAGTGCTAAACATTTTCAAAAGATTTGCTGAAGATACCATTGCTGGCTTTTTACTGCCATTGGAAGCAGGGCAATATTTCTGACTGGATATTAAAAATGCAGATATATGTTAATGTGCTGTGCCTTTAACTGTCCTTAAGACTATCTATTCCTCCAGTGTGGGGCCTGTGAATACAGGGCAACCTTCCTCACTTGGGTGAAAAGCCCACGAAAGCCCGCAGCCACGCTCTGGTGCCGAGAGCTCGCTCTCTCTCAACGTGTCACCACCATGCAAGCTCCCTTCCAACCTCAGTACTGGGCACTGCCTTAAAGGTGCAGAGTACGTGACCGTGTATCATTTGCGCTTCTATTGAAATGCTGCCTAAAGCTTTGAGGTGCTTCTAGTCTGCAAAGCAAGAAAGATGATGTGAATGCAAGAGATGAGATGGCCAAGAAAGCCAAGCTCATCACGAAGACTTTGAGGTCCTTGGGCTGAAAGCGTCAAGGAAACGCTACATTTTTCTATTTTTTTAAATATAATATAAGCAGTTTGGTTTCTAATAGTTTGGGATGTTCAGAATCGATATTCCTTTTAAAGCCAGACAACATCCAAAGCAGTTTCTTCTATCTGTCCCTTTTTCTCCTGCCATCACAGTTTCCATCACTGTAACAAGGGAGCAGCTGCACCGAAGATGGGCTCTTGTTCTCACTTCACCAGATGACTAATTAATCTTTTCTTTGAGTGCTCTGCCACCATAAGCAACTGTGTGATGCAAGGTGGCTGAGAGAAGGACTTATTTTTAGCTATGTCAGATAAGACTAACCATCAGACTAACCACTTGCACTTTGGCTGAAACATATGGTGAGCCTCACAGCAAAGTCTGAAAAAAAAAAAGCGTGTTGAATTTCAAATGCTCACAAAATGTATGAGCCATTTTTAATAACTTTCACATTCCATAATGTCTATACTTTTAAAAAAGATACCTTTAAACATGAGCAAACCATAAACATAAAGGGAATTAAATCCAACCTTCGATCCATAGAGATACTGCGGCTGTGCATTAGGCTGCTTATCTCTCTGAAACTCCTGAGAAAACGGTAGCACGGTCCGAACAAATCTATAAAAGCAAAATAAAAGAATTTGTTAGATACATTTAGGTTAGTATGTGTGTGCCTAATGCATCCTACCATGTATAATACTGCTTTTGCCTACAAATGAAATCAAAAGTCAGACCATCAGCCTTTCAGCCCAAGTTGAAACTGGGGAAGACCATAACCTGCAGTGCTCAAAAGCCTGGGGACAAAGCACAACACAATTGTCCACCACTTATTGGGACCCTCACCTTATTGGTGAGCAGGGTCCCAAAATATTTCCCACTTTGTGCACAAAATAGTTAAAATCAATATCTGCGACAATTCTGGTTCCACTTAGCCGAGGAAAACTACTGGTGTGTGTTTAAAGGTTGGATGGCCTCTTAATTTTTAAACTTGATAAAAAATATTTCTTGGCAAATGGTGCAAAGCTGTATATACACGGGGAAGAGGAAAAACAGCTACTGAAGAAGTGTATCTCAAATGTTTGTGTCAGATGAGGTAATTCTAAATGATGGCTAAGCAAAATACATGCATCTAGGAAAATGTTTCAGGAAAGGAAATTTGCAGTACTTTACACTATCATAAGAGACACATCTACAACTTGATCTGGTTTTGTTTCAAATATGTTTGAATTTAATCAGAAAAAAAAGATTTAGTAATCATTTTCGCTGGAAATAACATAGAAATTCTATTTTTAATACATCCATTTTCAAGCTGAAAACCAAACCAGCCATACCAATAAAAAAAATTTTCAGGCAAACATGTATAAATTGCACTGTGTTGCTTACAATTATTTCCACTGTGGTTTATTTCCAAGTAATCTGAATTAGTCTTGTTAAAATCTATAACTTCGGGACAAGGTTTTCTGTATTTTTTTAACCTGCTCAGAAATAAGTACACCTACAGTTCATATGTATTTCATCCCTGCCTTTCCAAAAGTGCTTCTACTTGCTGAAGTCCAGAACATGTTTGCCTTTAGGGCTTTTGAGGAAAAAAATCATTTGTGTGTATTATTTTTGATACTCTCTCTTTACATAATTTAAAACATTTACCTTTCCTCAGTTTACAAGTTTCCTCCTTCTCTCTCACAAAACAACTGAAAACTTTCTCTTGAGATTATGTGAATCTGTTCTCCGCACAGATACCTCTTTAATGAGTTTACCAGAGATGATGTAAACAACTGATGGAATTCAAAGTAATCTGCAACATATGACAGTCCCAGAGATTACTCTATTCCCCCTTCCTCCTCTCCAAATCCTATTCCTTTTTAAACTGACATAAATTTTCAAGTCCTAAGAAAATCTCTAAAATGAAAGAAACCAAAAGAGATACAACGTCATTTGAGATAAGACTAGGTTTCAGCATGCAGACGTATTAGGCAAGAGCTGATTTGTTATCACTAAATTAAAACTCTCACAAAGAAAAGAGTGTTTCAGAATGTAAATGTGAGTGCATACCATGACTTTGGAAGGTGTAACTATAATTCTTAGGCTTTTTGAAAAGGTATTATGAACCAAAAGGTATTTATTATGAACCAAAGGTATTATGAACCAACTCTTGTATGTTTCCCAGTGCTCCTCTATGCTCTTGGGGGTTTCGCCACCTCTAATGTTTTAGAGTAGCATCAAAATAGTCTTAAAGCTTTCTTCAAGATTCGAAGCAAGCACCTACTTTATACTTCCTTGGGTGAACAACAGTGGGAGAGGAAGAAAGAGGCTAAGAAAATAAAGTAGGAGGAGGTCATTTAGTATCTTACGGAGTGACTATGGCTAAGATTGAGGGTACGACAGGTTAAAGAGAGTGCGTCATTCTAGGAGGTATGTGACTAATTCCAATGTCATTCAGACAAATATTAGATATTTCTTCCCTCAAAACTAAGGGCCATATAGAAACATGTACAATTCAGCATCATCTACTATTCTTCAAACTTCTTCAATGCGTTTGTGTGTTTTCTTTGTGACATTCTGCCAGTTGGCTTCCTCCTGCTGCCCCTCCAAGAAACAGAAACATGTCTTTGAAGTTTTTTGAATATCAATGCTAAAGCTAGAAACGTTTCTACTTTCCCTTGGATGCTGCTGGACGCAGGTTTTGTCATACTCCAGGATAATCAGTTCTTTCCATTTTTAATCAGTGTTGGTGATGTCGCAGCAATTTATCCATTTTAATCAACGCAGGTTGTAAGCAGTCAAAGTAGATTAAGCAGATGAAAAGCCTGCTGGCTTACCAAAGCTTTGCAACAGTGATTGCTAAAGGGCAACATGAGCCCTGAACTATTTTAGGGATCAAATCATTTTATAGGAGTGTTTCTGTGTCACCTACCACGAAGGAGTTCATAATGAGTACTTCACAAACTAACCCAAATTAATCTATGATTCTAATTACCATAATCTATTACAGAAAATAAGCAGGAATCTGAAAGAGACCACTTTGGTCAATGAGCCAACTTCAGGCATCAGATCAGACAGACAATCTCAGTCATAAACTCTCTGAGCTTCATCTCAGAAGAAGATATCACAGTCCTCTCTCCTGTTCACAAAGAAGGTGGCCCTCTGCACTTCCCTGTCTAATTGGCATGAACACTTCTAACTTACAGCCTTCTCAAAGCAGTTTGTCCCATCTCCCAGATGTAAGGGCAGCCCTACACCTCTCAGTGAATGTCAGAGCTAACTCACCCTTCTTGAGCATGAATGTCACGACAGAGACAACAGGAAGCTACAAACTGAAGTGTGATGGAATAGCAGACAAAACAGAGCATGAAAGAGGAACAGATATCAGCCACTCCATTGCTATTGCCTTTCCTTCTGACAGAAAGACTTTTTTTTCTTTTTTTTTTTTTTTTAGGTGGGGGAAAGTAGTTGACTACAGTCACCCCTACTTTGCATGACGCTATATCCCTACACCATTTGGCTCCCTGTAACAGAAACTGCGTAGTTTTCCCTGCTTCTTTTCAGATTTGCTCCAGCAGTGTCTGAAAATTTTTCTGAACAGACTATCTGAGTATAGACAAGACAAGAAGACACAGCTGTTCTCTTGCAAAAACTAGTCTCAAAAGGAGTACAAGAGAGACAGCTTGCAAAAGGAACGGGGAGAGGCAGGCAGGCAGGACGACTGGTAATTGAAAAGCTGGTCTTTTTGTTCATTCTGTGACAAATCTATATCCTCAGAAGAAAACATGTCATACTGCATTTGGAAGAGTCCTATACACAAGAACTTTTAGCAGAGAATACAGATTTGGATAATGTGTTCAGAGGAGATGGAGCTACAAGTCTGACTACTGTCTTGGGAAGCTTGTATCTTTTGTGTCCAGAAAGCACAGAAAACACTCAATCCAAATAAATGTCTAGGCTGTCTCACACTTGCTCCTTCGTTAGCCCTAAACACAAAACAAGCTACCATGGAAAGAAAAGACCAGCTTAAAATTAGTAAAGAAAATAAGGCAGAAAAAGGCACGCTGCAGATAGTAGAAAAGGAACAAAGGAAAACCTGGATGTTGTCCTTGTGTTATTTGAATCTTTTGGACAGCCCCAGTCCATAAAGATACAGGGGAATGAAAAAAAGGACAGACACAGGCATAATCATGATAAAGATGGACCTGTTGGGAAAGGGTCCAGAGGAAGGACACAAAAATGAGGTCTGGAGCACCTCCCCTGTGAGGACAGACTGAGAGAGTTGGGGCTGTTCAGTCTGGAGAAAAGAAGGCTCTGAGGAGAGCTTACAGCAGCCTTCCAGTACCTGAAGGAGGCCCACAGAAAAGATGAGGAGGGACTGTTTGTCAGAGGTAGGACAAGGGGTAACAGTTTCAAATCGAAAGACAGTAGATTTAGATTAGATATTAGGAAGAAGTTCTTCACTGTGAGAGTGGTGAGATACTGGAACAGGTTGCCCAGAAAAGCTGTGGAAGCCCCTCCCAGGCCAGGCTGGATGGGGCTTTAAGCAACCTGGGCTGGGGGAGAGGTACCCCTGCCCATGGCAGGGGGGTTGGAACTAGATGATCTTTAAAGTTCCTTCTAACCCAAACTGTTCTCTTTTTCTATGATTCTAAGATTCTTGATGTGGAAAGACCTTTGGCTTGGAAAAAGATGCAACTGAGGGCCAATGTGAAAGAGGGCTCTTAAAAAAAAATGCCAAACAGCACAGAAAAGACAAGTGGGAAATTGTTGTTCATGGTCACTGTCAGTATAAGAACTGGCAGGCAACAGCTTGAGAGCAAATTAAGAGACACTTGCTCATGCAGACACAGCTTCACTGCAGACTCCTCGCTACAGCATGTCCATGAATGCCAAAACCTCACACAGCTTTAAAAAAAAAAACAAACCCAAACACGAAAAACTGGACGATGCAGAGGAGAGGGGAAAAAAGCCACAAATCAAATTAAATCAACCAAATAAACAAAACCAAACCTGTAAAGGGCCAGAAATACACTAACATCTCACTGTTTTTGTTTTACAGAAACATCTGATTGTTGCTAGAGGCTGGTATGTTTCCTGGGAGAAAAATCACCACAAGCCTCCCTTGTTTTCATGCTTAGCCTCTGCATAGCAGCTGCTGCTCGTGTCAGGACACTGACTAGAGAGGGCTCTGACCTCACCTGCAGTTCAAACGCTCCCACCATTATCCATTATTCTTTCCTGATCAACAACAGGTGGATTAAAAAGACTCTTAGATTTCACTGCTAATGTGAATCTGCAGAGGTCCCTGCACTCATCTCCCCATTCCTTCTCCAAGTCTGCACAGAGCCGTGCAGCTGTCCTACACTAATAAATTTCAGAATGCTGGCAACTGCAATTATCAAATTGCTAAATCTTTTAACAGCAGCCTCACTGTTTAATCTCAGTACATTATCAGATATGAAAAAATTCTTAAGTCTCAAATAATTAAACATGAAATGTGTTTCAACACTTCTGCATGAATAGCCTTAGCCTTTGAATCAAACCTGCAGGGTTACTAAACAGCTGAACTCTTTTACAGGTGTTTGAAATCATCACATTGAAGTGTTCTTGGGAAAACAGTTTCAAAAGGTAGTGGATACAAGTTAATCTGGCCAACTTTAACAGAAGGACCCTTACAACTAGGCTGTGGGCACATTAATAAAAGGCAAGCCAAAGGTATCACACCTTTCCTGGGAACTCTGCCTCCAATTCCTCACCATCAAGTAACTTCTCTGCTTTTCAGCAGGCTTATTTCTCTCTCTTCCAGTCTTTTGTTGTTACTTTTCTTCCCTTGTTTACATGTACCTTTCATGGAAGGCATCACCTATCAAGAGTGAAGAATTAAACCAGCAGCTCTCACAGAGCTCCTCACTGTGTACTCCTGTATTAGCACACAACAACCTGTACAGCTGCATGCACAGAGAGCTCATCCATTTAGAGCCCAGGCTAAGAGCAAGGCACCAACGGGCATAATGAACATGCTTAAGAGCTGTAAAAGGGCTCGAAACTCCCTGCCCCCTCTTCCAATGCAAACAGCAATGGGTACAGTACAGCATGTACAGCTCACAGGCTAATTCTCTCTACATTTCTGTTTTTGACTGAAACCAAAGCAATTCTCTAATGGAATTGGGCATGATACACATACCACCTCAGACCTGGCTCCCTCTATCATCTCTTAAATTACTTATCCTGAATTAATTACTTGACAAGCTTAAAGACCAGCCTAACTCGATACAGGCGTACACTTTTTAGAAAGACAATCAACGGTCCTACAGGATCCTGCCAGCATCCTTTGGCATTCCACGATCGCTTCCCAAGCGCTGTGACCTGCAGCAGAGCAGTCCTTACAGCCAGGATGAACATAGACTGAATTCTCATAGGAGCTATTGGACAGGTGAAGGATCAGCACTTCATCAAGATTTTACTGTTATTAAAATGATTATAGGATTCTTAATACACTGTACTCAATATTCCAATGCTGATCTCCAGGTACATCAGCTGCACAGTAGCTTCCTCGGAAACACATTCAATTCTCCCATGCAAATAGATTTATATAACAGAAGTTTCTTGGCTAAAACTTAACCACAAAAAGCACTCTCTTTTTTTTTCCCCCCTAGACAGAATCTTGGATTGCAACACAACCATCACGGAACATGTCAGACAGGGAAAGCTTTCCAAGGAGATAGTGAAAGATGAGAACAGGCTTCTTCCTCATCCTGAAGCTCAATATTCGATATCGCTTTACTGTCACTTCACAGTGCTTTAACCAAAACCTGAGAAAAGGCTAAAAGCAACACAAATCCTAAAAACAGCACACAATCAGGAAGCCCAGAAATGCAGAGTCCCAAATACTGCACCTTCCACTCATTCAACATTTAGGTCCTACCTTCCTCTTTCCATTTCCATTACTCACTCTCCCTAAAGGTTGCAATCGTAGTTGCAGCAAGCACTGAACTCTCCTCCAGTAAACTATCCTTTTCTTCACATTAACACAGAATCAGGAATATAATTTTAATTCCATCATCTCACAGCTGAGGATCCTGTTTACCAAAATATCTTTCTGATTCGCACTTTGCGGTATTTTTGGACACACTGTATTTTTCAGCATATCGTAGCTCAGTCATTAAAATGTCAGAATTTGGATGCTGCAGTTACATTTGACTTCTATTGTGGAGAAATAACAGGCTTTCATACGTTTGACAGTACTTGGTAAAATGACTCATGCTGCCTCATTTCAAGTAAGGCATTAGAAATGGAAAACACACTAAATGAGTGGAGACAAGACTTGTCAGCAGCATTCGCTCAGAAAAAAGTTGCAGAAAGGTGGTAGAAGAACTGCTGCAAACAAAAGGCTGCCACGCTAACCTGTTAGTGGATCCATTGTAGCAGTAGTTTGGAAGGAAATCGTAATTCAGTTCCCAAAAGACATGAAGAGTGATTCTTCCGTAAGGGGCTGACACGTTGTGATTGGCTTCTCTGAACATGGCGTCAAAGCTGTCCAAGGTCATGTATCTACTCAGCAGCTTATGAGTCATTTTGTTTATCTCTATCAAGCCATCCAGCTCCTAAGAAAAACAAGAGGGAAGTGAGCAGTGCATTTAATAAAGTGAAGAAACTCAATACATAAATAGCCTTGACTGAATAGAAGACTAGACAGAAGTCAAAATGAACAGTCCCTTACTTTACTGATAAGAGCTGGAAAGAATCAGTGTTCTTGGGGATCTTTTGTAACCCTATCCCATCAAAACCCTTTAAGGGTGCTCATTAAAACTGGTCCATGCTGCAGATAGTTCTCAAAGGGATATATGGTTTAGCCAAGGACTTGTCAGTGACTGGTTAATGGTTAGAATTGATGATCTTAAAGGTCTTCCCCAATCTAGATAAGAAAAAGTTAAAACTCCACCATCATTTAAATGGGGACAGACATAGGCCAAGAAGCATCTCTTCCATTTCCTACTTTACAAGCTATCATAAAATAGCTCCTGCTCAGTAGGGAAACTGGCAAACTATTACAGTAGTACTGGCAGGGTAACATCAGATTTATCTTAAATTCTGCTCATGGCTTACTCTAGTGAAGAATGTACTAAGATGTAATGAAAGACCAGAGCAGATGTTTACAAGTGTTGTGATGATATCTACAAAATCATTGGCTGCAGACCATACATCTACGTATGAACACTGCCTTTCATAATGTTTCTTCTCTTGACAAGAAATCCCTAGTATGGTTTCCCACATTATCTTTAAAATAAATTGATCTTTGTTATGAGACACTGAAAACCCCAAACAAAGAACACAATCTCTTGGTCCAAAAACCCCAAGCACTGCTTTTAAAGGTCGTTGTGCAATGACGTAGTGAAGCAATGTCCAGTGGCTTTGTTTAGCTGTTTGTTAAACTGCTGGTCATCTCTTCATACAGTGCTGTCAGATTTAACTGCTCCGCGTTTCAAATGATTTTCAAACCTGTGAGCAACAATTTCTTTAAGGAAAAAGAACCCCTATGATTCTTATCACACTATTGTGTACAATCTGAGGGGAAAAAAATAGCTCAAGTCTTTTAACTACCTTCATTTCATTAATTTAGCTTGAAAACTGGCAGAAATTACTGATTAATTAAGCTATCAGCATCAGCTTCTCGCTAAGGAAACCAATCAGTTTTCAGCAGAAACTATTTTGCATTAAAAAAAAAAAACAGAGAGAGAAAAAAAAACAGAACATGGTGAAGGGACAACATCTTAGGCCTGTCACGTTCTAACTCATGAAAGAGAGTGAGAAACCTCTGACCTAAGAAACATATATTATCAGCAGTTTCTGTTCAGCTAGCCACTAAGAAAATTCTGCACGTAACAAACAAAAACTATGTTTCAATGATTTGAAGGTTATAGCACCAAGCACTGAAAAGTCAAGAGGCTCTATGGTCTCAGCATTTGATTTATTTCCAGTAAAGAATGAAATTAAATCAAGGTAGTTAATTGCATGACAAAATCTCACTGGTAAAAAACTTATTACGAGAAGATGAATGTTAAAACTTTCTTGCATAACTTTTAATTTATCTTTCATTCCAGAAGAACTGAATGTGTCTGATATTTTTCTCACTGACTGCACATTTACTTGTCAAATCCATGCTGTCTGGAAATAACTATTTTTTTCATCATTTTAATCAGTAAACTAACTCAAAAAGACACCTCAGTATCACACAGATGCTCTTCTTCCACAGTCAGATCTCCACAAAAAAACCATTTCTGTCATGCTACAAAACCAAGCTGCCTGGGTAAATAAACTCTCTTTGATTCTACCAGGCACAAAGGTGTTTTGTTTTGGTCTGCAATTTATCTATAAACACAGACAGAAGGAGGCATTTAGAAAAATTTAAATCACAAAACTTCTTATTTTCCTTTTTTCCCTATGGCTTCTAGCATATGCCTTCTCTGCAGGTGCTTACTGCTAAGGCCCCCAGCTACTGCAGGTTTGGGTTTTTTTTTCTGAGCAAGCACATAACAAAGATCCTCGGTCTCAAAAGGACGAGGACTTGCCCAGACCCACATCTGGCAACACATTCCAGAGAACTGTGGGAGGTCAGGCCAAAGCACTGTTTGAACTGAGACACAGTTTAAGGCCTGAGGAGGAAGAAATCAGAGCACATCTGAACTAAAGTCCATGATGTACTATAAGGGCAACAGAGGATCCACAAGTATAATTTAGGATGTAGCTGAAGGTGACTACAAGAATGCCTTCCACAAGACTAAGCTGCTTCTCTGGTAAGAGGTTTTGCGAGTCTAGACTTAGTGAAGCAGACAAACTTCAATCGTAGCATTGTATGATTTCACCCTAACATCGGAAGGAAAAGTTTTATTATTTTTCTAATAAGACTGCTTAAATTATTTCCCATTTATATACGTATGTCACTAAGATTGAGGGTAAAACAAGTTTGCCTGTTAGTCATCTCCTCCCCTTGACAGAAGTGACTGTACAACTATTCACTGAGAGAATACTTGGAAGACTTTTAGCTAAGCCAGAGAAAAGGTTTTTGCTTCTGCCATTAAAAACCAAGTATAGACTTATAATGGGAGAAGAAAAAAAATAAGTCAGATGTTTAGCATTCTCAATGCAAATAAAAGAAATTATTGAAATTAGAATACATTTAAGCCAAAACAAAATGATCATCTAGACCTGAACTGCAGCGTTAGTGCTCTGGCAAAACTGCTACACAACACTCACCACAATGGAAGTCAAATCCTCGCTTTCAAATCGACCGATTGCCAGTTCCATGGACCTGTACATGGCCGCTGAAATTCGCTGAGTGATCAGTCGGTTCAGGTCTATTGACCTACCAAGAAGCTAAAGAAAAAAATGCCATGAAGTTTAGAACGGAAAGTCAAATTTTGAGATGAGCTGCACAAGGACTGTAAGACGAGACTGCACAGGTTAACAGATGCTCACGTGGCAAACAGGCCATCCAAACACACAGAAACAAAGCAGATAGGCAAAATGTAGAAATTCATGAACAAACAAGGTACTGCAATTTACATTTCTCGCAAAATGAAGTAAAATCACATGGTGCATTTTCATCTAACTATTTTGCATCAGCATTTTATGCTTCCATGACATTGTGCCAACAACATATTCAAAACCGGTGAAAGACACTACTGGGAGGACAACGCTACTACGTGATATTCCTATTCGGCCCGTGTTTGCTTAACCATAGTAGATATTTGCATTAACCCAGGATCTTTTAAGGTTTTTTTCTTAATTACTCCTTCATATGACAAAAACCAGCTGATCTCAAACATCAGTTATGCCCCTCAGATGACGGAACACAAAGCACAGAGTTTTATATGCCTACACAAATCAACACCGCTGGAAAATAACTGAGCAGACTGAAGACAGAGTATAAGTTGACTCACTTGGACATGCCTCTGTTTCAGCAGCGTCTCGTAGCGGTTGGACTGTAGCAACTGAATGGTTGCTCCTTGGTTCTTGCATTCTGAACGTAATCGTTTATCCAGAAGTAGGCTGTTAAGAAAGGAAGAAAATGCTTAAAGACAGCAAAGCAGAGCAGAAATGCATCAATAGAAGTTCTCACTACTGAAATAGCTACCTGCCAGCCATTATCTTGTAGTACGCAAATATTTGGTCTGCCAGCTTGTAGACAAATTGGTCAAAACACAGGTTTACCTTGTGGAGAAAAGAAATTGTGCATTTAGATATACTTTAAATTAAAAGAGGGACTTTTATCCAAGACCTCCCACTGTTTATCAAGCATAATTAGGAAAGTTAACGCAACCAAATTTCCCACCACAACTGAAGATGACATTCAGTTTTTGGCATTAATGTGAGGCATTCTGCACAGGTCTACAGGTTTCCTTACAACATATCACCCAACCAGTTATCTGTCTTCTGATCTTCCTTCTCAGACTGTTTATTATATCCCACTGTCCTGAATCTCTTATAATAGGTCTTGGCCTTTAGCATCATCTTCATAATCAGATGCAGACTATTTTTCTCCAATAGGTAAGGTCACTTTACCTCTGCTTCAATCTCATCATAGAGGAACTGCTTCTTAAATTTAGTAAGTGCATAATGAGCACTGTCATTATAAAGGTCCAAAGAATACAGAACATACCTGAATAAAAAAGAATTAAAAAAACACAAGTTACATGCCTATAGAAATTATGATCTTTAGGATGGTGCAGTCAAGCTGTTGTAAACCAGTCAATATTGTAATCTACATCTGGTTCATGCAAACAAGATATTTTTGAGTTTTATATATAAAAGTATCACAATCTCTCCTTTAAGAAGTCTTTAGTCAGTTCAAGAAATCATATAGGGAAGTTTGCAGTCTGAAACTTGTTTTCTAGGTATAGCTTTCTATCAAAATGCAACTGTGCCTTTACCACTATGTATTATATTTGACATTTGAGGAGTAAGTAAGGAGAAGTCACTCAAGGAACAACCTATTTGGCTGTTGCAATGATATTTAGATGAAAGGTTTCGTATTTCAATTATTCACTTCCAAAAGTAAACTTTGAGAGTCTGGAAACTGACAAGAGTAAGAGGAAAATTTTATGACGGTTTAGAATTCTTTCTCAGTGACTGCTTGTTAAAGCCAATTAAAGCAGCAACATTATAATCAGGAACGGCAATCACTGAGAATAATCACTCAGTGGAAGAACACCAGTAGGTCTTACTCCATCATTGATGCCTCTTTGGTCTCCAAAATATGGTCTGTCAGAATCCAAGGCATGGACATCTCAATGGGAAACTGGATTCTTCTGCCCATGGTCAGCTCTAAGAAGAATTCCCTGAACCACAGCTGAGACAGATCACAGCACTGCTGCAGGGTTTCTTTCAGAATAAATAAAGAAGAATTAGACTTCTTGCAGAAATACATCAGGAACAATACAACTGTCATTCTGATGATGCAATGCGAAACAAAAAAAGCCGGCGTGAGTCACCAGAGCTATACATAGGCCAAATACGTAAACCAAATTCAAAACATAAAGCCCGGGACTTTTTCAAAGAGTTTTGAACTCCATGTTGGCCCCAAAAGGGTGCCTTATTACAGGACAAAAAAAAAAAGAAAAAAAAAAACAGCATGAAAGTGGATGAGACTACCAGTTAAACAGAAAAACTATGTACACCAGGTAAAGGGGGATTTCTAGTTTAATTTCTCAGCTGGGGGCTGAGAAGGCCATACGCTGAACTTGGAAAGCAGCAGGCAAAGGAGACAAACTTGTACCAGATCCACCGGTACCGTCTGTCCCTCAGACCGCTCCATACGGTCCTCGTGATTCGATGGGCAGCAAATGGCAGACAGACACATGAAGGAGGAATTAAAACAAAAAGCTTTTAAGGCCACCGCCAAGGGTGCAGAGGTGTGCTTCCCACACAGTGAGAAAACACTCAGCACAAGCCTTCTTTTGCAGAAGGCTTCTGAACCAAAACGGGGACGAACATTCTATGCTAAGATCTTCTAAAGACCTTTTGAAGTGCTGTTCCCCGGTGGTGTTATGACTTACATTAACAGTCTCCCCCTTCTCTGAGGGGAAAGGAAGCCGGCAGCAAAACAAAAACAGAAGACAACACGGCATGGTGATGACAAAGACTAGAAACATTCAATGTCAGTAGGTGAATTCTTTAGGACAGCATGTTTCCGATTACAATTAACTGAATAGTAAGAGTAGTGAAATGACATCAAATTTACCACAACAGAGAATTTGTTTCCTCTGTACTTAAAGCAAATACAAAAAACCCTCCCAAAAATCCCAAAAAAACCAAACCACAAAAACTACATCCTTTTTAAAATTTCAATGTGCATAGGCTTATCTGTCCCTTGTTTATATAAATATGTGCCTTAAAAACAACAAAAAAAGGGAGGTAAGGATATGAAATTTGATGCATTATAAACAAATCTGTAACAAGTCAAAATAAAAATCCCACCACAATACTGAATATCACATCTCAGAAAAAGTTTGGACAGACCAAGGCTTTTGATAAATAAACCAAAGGTAAGTTGACTTAGGCAATCGGAAACATTTTCCAGGTCGTGTTAGAGGTGTTAGGACATGCTAAGCTGGACACTGATCATCTACATATCTTACCACTGAAATTTATCAAATGAGTGTAGAAGAAAGACTCGCGATGGAATTTTTCTATGTCCAATATGGTGGGCCCCTCAAGGCTACTTCTCAAGGTTTTCTTGGAACCACTTTTGTCAGCAATGAGGGACTCTAACATAGTTCTCACCATGTAAAGCTGTATCATTAAAGGAAACAATTGTGGTGGAAAGGGAGGGGGGGGGGAAAAAGGGAAAATACACATGGTACATTAGTCGAGCAACACTGAGAATTACTATCAGTAAGCGACTGCTCCACTTCAAAACTGAGAACTGGCACCGTGTGGGTAAAAGCCTTTGAGGCGAGAGGAACAGAGGAGACGCGAGCCTGCGCACCGACACAGCCTCCTGCCCGTGCCGAGGGGACCTCCACCGACACGCTCCGCAGCAGACCGTTGGCAGTGGAATAGTTCACATCACCACGACAAGTAAAAGTAATAAGTAATGTCTTACCACCAAAGTTTAAAAGAGGCGGATAGGTGTAGGACTGCCTCAGAAACTTGTGTGTCACATGCAATAGCTTTTCCAGTCCCAGAGACTTGAGCTGCTTCAACAGCTCGGCAGAGTTTAAGGACTCTGTCATAGTGCGAACCATGTAGAGCTAAAAACCAACAGACAGGGGCAGGCAGGGGAGAGAGAATCCGTTAATAAAAAACACACGGGTAAATAAGGAAAGGGGAAACAGAAGCAGAGAAAACGTGTTAGTTTGTTAAAAATGAAAAGCAGCGCAGCAGGCATGCAGAGGAGGACGTACAGAAAGGTTTCTTCCTTCAGACAAAAATAACTGCAATCCAGTGCTCCCTCGAGTAAAGGGAAAAGTTCCCGTTCGTCTCAAAGGATGCTCAGAGAGCCACCCGCTTATCAAACGACCTCACAAAGATTTCCAAGTATTATCAATTGATACATAGCCATTTTAGAAGGGCATCTAAAATCGATATATCTGAGCTCCCTTCCTCCTGTGAGAGAGACGAGTCTGCCAGCCCATGAGCGGAAAAAGCAGACAGAACCACGTACCCTAAGCAGCCTATTGCAGCCAGTGGAGCAAAGCCCTTAAATACACCAAGCACAGGAGAAGCACACTGGTGGTGATATTTTTTTTTTTCCCCTCAGAAAATTAGAAATCAAAACTTGATTTTTTTCTAACTCTCAAACCAATCTTCACCAAACCCATCTTACTACTATTTAAGCAACTTTTGACTACCCACGGTTATTATTTGTACGTGTCCTCTTTTCCACAGATTTTCGGTATTAAAAGATTGTCTCTGCAAACCAGTTGCCTTCAGTTTTTCACCTGAAGTGCTCAGTATCTCATTTTCTCAGATGAGCTATGAATACCAGACCATATACTCTCCAAACAAATCCACAAAGAAAATAAAAAAATAAATATATGGAGGGAACAAGAACAAGTATCTAGGTATGAGATTTCAACGACTATCACAGAAAAAAACATTTGAAATGCCTCACATTTTAGTGGCAGCAGCCAATTAAGTAGATTTTAGGGAGCAATTCTATCATTTATTACTGAACAGCGAGAGAGATCTCATCAGAGGTCAAATTATTCATATTTTAAACATATTTTAAAACTACACAGCTAATGAATAATGAGATTTAACACAAAAAAAGCCCCAACAAACACAACAGCCATACTAAGGATGGGAGTCAGTTAAGACGTAATTCAAACAGATCAAAAATATTATTTTAAAAAAAGCATTAGAGGCTCAGTGAGAAAATATTTCTTCCTAGGAAGTCAAATTAAAGAGATTGAACACTTGGAAAAATTATGCATCAGAGTAGAAAGTGACAGCAACCCAGATAAAGGATTTTGGTTAAGTACATATAATTTTGGAAATATAAATCAAATCAGAGTAGATTTTTAGCATTAAAAACCACCACAACGAAACCTGCACTTTTTGAACAGTTCAGACCAGAGAGAAAACATTTCATGCAATAACTGTTGAGAGGTATCACAACCACCAGACAGGAAAATACCTGAGTGCTGGAGGGTCCCACTGCACGCCTTGGGACTTTGATGTCAAAACCACTTTTGGGGTCCTTCTCTCCCCTCAGAGCCGGGTCGTTGAACGGCTCATGACCCGCTTCCCAGTCACAGACTGTCTTCCTGATGGCCTGCAAAACACTGAACACAATTCACACTGCTTCAGAGCAGGACGCATCCAAGCGCACCGCTGAGAACACATTTTGCTTTTTTTTAAGCGCTCTTTTCTTTCCCCAAGCACAGAAGCCCTGCAGCAGCGCTCAGGAGTTCAGGTGTTCGGGTGTGACTCAGGGCGACTGCAAACAGTTCCACTGACAACTTCAGGAAGCCCACATCCACAAAACGAGCACTCCACGCTGTTTATCAGAAAGGATAGTCCAGAGCCCTTCTTCGCTGTCAGAAGAAAGCTGACCTCTGAAACTAGTTCACCAGAGACAAAAGTCACTTGTTGAGAATTCACCTCTGGGATCCTTAGCAAGTGCATCAAGCCGTTTTGTTCTCCTAATCCACAAAAAGCAGATTATTCAACCAAGAAAAAGCAGACTGTTACAAAAAAGTTCTTTACAATGAGGGTGGTGAAACACTGGCACAGGTTGCCCAGAAAGGTGGTGGAGGATCCATCCCTGGAGACATTGAAGGTCAGGCTGGATGGGGCTCTGAGCAACCTGATCCAAAGATGTCCTTGCTCACTGCAGGGGGAGGTTGGACTAGAGGATCTTTAAAGGCCTCTTCCAGCCCAACACTTTCTATGATTCTATGATTATTAATCGAACTAAAGAGAGACAATTCTGGCTTGAAATAAAAAAAAAAAAAAAAAAGCAGCAGAATTCCTGTTTCCAGCAGAACTCCAGAATTTAACTGGAATTTATACAAACAGCTTCACACTTCTAGCTCCATATACTGAACTGGACTTCAGATACTTGTCATAAACACGGCAAGTCGTATCTTGTGGGGTGCTGAATGATAAGCAAATAATTCCTCCCAAATCTGAGCAGGTATGAAAGTAATACTTCCTTCTTTCATGAAAATCCCTGAGACAAAAAGCCTTTCCCTGCAAACCTGAAAATTTAGAGTAATTGGCTTCTTTTAGCTTATGATGGTATTTTTGTGGCAGTCAGAGCATTTAGCAGTAGATTAATTAGTCAAAGATTTTCACCTCTAAGAGGTCTGCAATGAAACATGGGAGTAAACAAATGGTAAACAAGTTAAGATTAAAAGCAAACAATTAGGGACCAAAAAAAATAAGGTCTGGAAATGCCACCAGCGTGAGCAAATGGAGCACTTGGAAGAGAAGTGTAAGGCTGATAAACCAAAAGCAGCAGAAGCTGAGGAAAAAAGCAGGATGCTAAGGGGACAAAGATAAAACCATGGAGTGGGATGCAAACATGAGACATAAGGAGAGAAAACACTGGAATCGTATGGCTAGACTATCGTATGGATTCATATCAGATAGACTAGTAGGGGAGTACAGACATAAAGAGGCAAACTTGTAACAGCTGCACAATTCTGCAACAAATTCAGTAATGTTTGGGGGGAAAGAATGCAGGAGCGGATGAAAGCAAAAATTCTACCTCTGAATGACATTCTTCTTCTTTTTAATGGCTTGTCTTAAAGGCTCTCTGAGTGTAACCTGGGCAAAGTCTTGAAGAGCTGCATAAATGGTATGGCGAATGGCATGATTGAAAACACTCTCCATCCTTCCCATCAACACCTGAAGACCTTTGATCATAGCAATCACCTGCAAAAGAAAAAAAGTCTTTTTTCTTATTTTTTCTGTAAAATTGTTCAAAAAGCCCCTTTTAAATACAGAAAGCGAGAAAAGGTGAATTAACAAATTCCAAAAGATAAAGGATAGCTTTCCTGTGTTCCTCCTACATACGGAATGGAGGAAAACAAGCTCTTCATGAGTCAACACAGGGCATGCTGTCCTTTTGCACTGGGCACAGAAAATGTTTATAGAGAACGTTCTCCTTCGTATAGAATTCTTTGGAAAATTCCTACTAAAATAAAATAAAAAAAATATATATTTATCTTACCTCAACCAACGCAAACTTCTCCTCACTAGTATAATTGTATCTTGTTGCTCTTTCATACTCTTCTGCATTGTCAGGACAATCTTTATTAGAATATTTGTCAGTTGGATGTACCAGCTTCCATGAATACTGCAGTTCACACAGGAAAATAGGGATAAAAAAAGATGAAGAGGGAAAAAAATAATCCCTGAGAAACACAAAACACAGCTGGACACAAATAACATGCTTTAATAAATAGTCTAGCATTTTCAAGACTATCTGAAAGATAATATTTAGTACTATTCAATGAGAGGCCTCAAAGTATAACACACAAAAGGAGGAACCAAATATTCACATTTGGAATTCAAAAGACAATTAGAAACCTCTGGGTTTGGGGCAGTTATTTTTATGTTTACTAGATTTTAAGGTGTGGAAATAGCTGTATTATCTGTCACAGTATCAACTGCACAGCATGCATTTCTCTTAAATACTGCCTTTTCAGTCACCACAAACACAGCTCAAAACGTTCCTGAGCAGCGTCAGGCTGATCAAACATCCATCAGGGTACATCTTGTGAAAAATCCTAGTCACATTCAAATTCAATTTTCTCACAGATTAAGTTCAGCAAACAGTAAGGCCTGCTTGATGTTATCTTTGCATAAGCGTTAGATTAGAGAGCAATATAAATTTGCCTACCATAATGGATTAATATTTGCACCAGTTTACCTGTGGCAAGAACAGCATTACACCCTGCAACCTACAGAGTGGATACTGGGAAAATTACTAAACAAAAATGAAGTATTTGGAGGGCATTAAGCTGACAGGGTTAAGCTGAATATCAAACACATGCAGAAACGTTTTATCTGAACACGATGCATATAACAAGCTTCATGTATACTGAGCAAATGCAGAAGACAGGTAAATAAGTAGGATACACCAGATCAGAATAAATTTTCAGGAGGAGGACAGGGAGAAGGTGAACATGAACTGATATCAGAAGTACTTAGGGAATCCATACAAATCAGTACGAGAAAGAAAAGCAGTGGTAATAAGCAAAAAATCCTGCTGTGGTCCCCACAGAAAGTTTGTTCTGGAACCAGGAGGATAAAAACAGAGCTAAGAATGGGAGACTTTCTACAGAGATATAATAAAATAGGAAGATTTTCAGTGCAAAGAAAGAGCCTGAATGCAGTGATTTGCAATGACAGAAATAAAAGAAGCAAGTCTGGGAGTTGCAGAGGCCAGAAACAGATGACAGTAACTTCCTTTAAGAAGGAGAAAAGGAGAACAAGGTTTTCACCACAAAATACACTTTTGATTTAAATAGGAATAGGATAATACAGGAAAAAGCATGACGTCTACTGGCTTTTAAGAGAGGCAGTTAAAAATACAGAAGAGAAAGCAAGCTGGGTCTCCAGCTGTGCCCACTGTGACCATGCTGGGTTCGGGCAGTGCAAATGGCTTGATGCTGCCTCAGACACGAGAGGAGCAGCAGGTCCTGGCTTCTCTCCCACAGCATGCGTCACCTGCTTCAACCCTTCCCAGAACATGCTTTGCTGCCGGTGGGACACGTAGCTTTTATCTAAGTCATAGGAAGGATTCCTGCATCCTCCTCATCAATTCCTGCCTTAAGCAGTTTCTTATTGGAGAACACACAGTCATTCTTCTAACCGGCATCTGTTTTAAAAATAAATTATTAAAAGAAAGAGAAACCACTCTGCAAGTTCTTTGCTTCCCCCTCCCTCATCAGGAGACTGAGGGATGACCTAATTAATGTTTATAAATATGTAAGGGGTGAGTGTCACGAGGATGGAGCAAGGCTCTTCTCGGTGACAACCGATGGTAGGACAAGGGGTAATGGGTTTAAACTGGAACACAAGAGGTTCCACCTAAATTTGAGAAGAAACTTCTTCTCAGTGAGGGTAACAGAGCACTGGCACAGGCTGCCCCGGGAGTTGGTGGAGTGTCCTTCTCTGGAGACATTCAAAACCCGCCTGGATGCCTTCCTGTGTAACATCGTCTAGGTGGTCCTGCTCCGGCGGGGGGATTGGACTAGATGATCTTCCGAGGTCCCTTCCAGTCCCTAGCATTCTGTGATTCTGTGTGATCCTGTGATCTCCTCTCAAATTTTCCTTTTGCCACATTTAGTTTCCTTTTGACTAAAAGCCTAATCTAAAGCTAACGGGAGCCTTTCTATGCATTTTTGTGTCTTTGGTTAAGAATGTACACAGTGCAATTTACTAAGCGAAGGTGTCTAAACATAGTTGAAGTTGTTCTATCACCTCCTGTGCGACCGACTGCATGTTTGCATGGACATTTCAAACAGATTATAATTTTTAACATTTACAGCAAAACAACAAAGTCTTAGTGTACATAATGTATGTATGAAGAGCAATATAAAAACATCTGGTCAAGGATCACAGGTGATCCCCTATCCATTAAGTACAAACTGAACGTGCTGTATGAGATTGCACGTGCTACGGGATCCTCAAAGTGGCAACATTACTCCTGGCCTCCAAGAATTTCATGAGCCTTCCTCTGAGAACATGGTTTGGAGCAGGAAAGGAGTGAAGGAAGAAGGTAATTAAGGAACACAGCACAACATGCATTTTTCATTCCATTAAAGCAGAACTTCTCCAAGCTGCCTCCTTTTCATCTGGTTTCATTCCCCAGGTAACATACCACTTCCATGATATATGCGCTCCACTGGGAGAGAAGCTGCAGGCCTTGGAGAGAGAGATCAAAGAGCTTCCGATACTCTGCATCTGTCTTTTGAGCTTCCTGTCGACCAGATCCAGTCACCACCTAGAACATCATTAAACAGCAACAACAAAAACAAGTCTACATCAGAACACGCTGTATGCAGCATCCATAGCCAATTTCGACATGGATTTCTTGGAAGCATTAAAATGACATCTGCATTACCGTCAGCTTTTTCTTCTAGAGACTTACGTAGTTAAACTTCACAGATATTGGTCAAGTAATGGAAACAACTGGTATCTCTAATCACCAAAATATTGTGGAAGATGAATTTGAGGTAGTGATTATATACAATATAGAACCTATAATAAAGGTATTTATATACACAGTATATATATACTTGTATATATATGTGCATTTCTTTTTTTTTTTTACTTATCTCTTAACTTTTAGTTTCATTTAAACTGCTATGAGCATCAATTTGGAGTAAAGGCTCGACAATCTATTCCAAAAGAGACATGTCAAAATTTCTATATCTCTGAAAGAAGTATATATCTCTGTGTGTGTGTGTGTATATATATATGCAGAAGAATATTGCAGGTTTTATGATGTATCATTATTATTTTAAATTTAAATAGCGTAAATATCATGTAGAGACTGGGTACTAGCCCTGCAGCCAACTTCTCTTGATTCAAACTTCACCATTTATCTAGCCTGAGGTTTACCTGCTCTTCAGATATTTAACAAAAACTGTTAATCAGTGACATGAAATTTGCATGAGCAGCTCTAATCCCACACACCTCACTGTTGCTGTAACGAGCCAGTTCTGATATGAAACGCATATGGTCTTCTCTGATTTGGATCATCTGCTCACATATATTGTACTGGGGACTGCTGCTGGAAGACGTGCATGTCCACCTGTTTCAGATGACAAAAAAACACACCTAAATCAGTTTAGGCAATAAACAGTACAAGTGATACTTCAAAAGAGAACGACAATGTGTGACTTTAAAAAAAGAAAATCTTCTCTATTTGAGGCCTTTCCTCTCTTCCTCTACCTTTACCCTCTACCTCTGACCCTGCACAGCCCATGAGTGATGGTTTGCCCTTCTGAGTTCAAACAGCGCTTCTTCTAAGTCTTAAAAAAATAAAAATTCTTTTCTGTACTTTTTAAAAGGCTGCTGCTACACAATACGAACTGGCATCTCTCTTCAGGAGCATGCACTTAGGGAGAGGACCAAAAAGTATCGAAAGGCAGGGCAGAAATATAAGCATAGGCTGTAAGACACATCTAGCTACCTTCATTTTGGTTTTTGTCATTCTTGTTTAACTACAAAGAGCCTAGTGCAGGCTCCCAGGTATAAAAAAAAGGCATTAAATACTATAATCATGTTATCAAGAGGAACACAAAAGACATGCTACCAAGAATGTCATGTTAAGTAGCCTCATATTTTTTAGTAGCTCAGCTGGCTCACTGCTGTTGATTTGCTCTGAGCAATTACATGCAGGTTATGTGGGTTTTTATAATTAAAATGCAAAGCTCTACATTCTAAATTCATGTAACTGCATGGAGGGAAGGTCTTGGAGGAGCATGGAAATGTTAACTAAAACAAAGCAATAACCATAAACAGGGAACCATTTATGTAAAAACCGGCTGCACTTTCCAGCCATTTTGCTGTGCTGCATACCTAGCCAAAAAAAAAAAGAGGGGGAGACAAGCTGAGTTGCTGCTCCATATACAATATACACATGCCTATGCGCCCATGCACTAATGCTGCTCACCTTGCTTAGCAAAATCCTTCATTTCTTTTAAAGAAGAATATTTAAAGGAGAAAATAAAAATTAAATTAGTGTAAGATAAAATTAATTTCCTCCAACCCAGGTGATACGAAATGTCATGGATGCAAGAATGAGCCTAGCAGAATAGAAAAGTCTTTAAACAACCTGTTTCTTTAGTTGTATTTATTATGTGGTTATATTAATAGTAAAATACCCACACCAAAAAGCAGATTAAGGCAAATTTAAGGGAATATTAAGGGAACTGTCAGAGACTAATGAGTGATTATGGACGTACACTCCAAGGGTCTGCCTTTCCCCAGCTCGGATGTTTCCCATCTTTTTTTTGTTTTTTTCTTCTTCCCCTTACCTGGATTTATTTTCCTCATAATGGGCACTGGTCTTAATGTATCTTGCAAGTTCAATTTGCATGTCACCAAAGAGTGGAACAACCTGCAACTGCTGTACACAGAGAATAAATCAGATTAGATAAATTGAACTGTCACAGACTAATGAGTGATTATGGAAGTACACTCCAAGGGTCTGACTTTCCCCAGCTCGGATGTTTCCCACCTTTTTTTTTTTTTTCTTCTTCCCCTTACCTGGATTTATTTTCCTCATAATGGGCACTGGTCTTAATGTATCTTGCAAGTTCAATTTGCATGTCACCAAAGAGTGGAACAACCTGCAACTGCTGTACACAGAGAATAAATCAGATTAGATAAATTATTAACACAAATCTTAGTGAAAGGAAACCATTATCTATCCTTATGTAAGTCCAAAGTGATCCCTATTCTATTTTAATTATATCTGAAATGCCAGGGGATTTATCTTTAAAATTATGTATTAACAAACACCTCTCTTAACCAACCTTAAAGAACTTGTCTATCTTCGCTAAATTTATCCTTTTCTTTGCATCCAGCTTATAGATGTTACTGACGCTTCCATCCATCAGGTACAATCCAAAGCCCATAACCTGAAAAAGAAAAAAAACCAAACCTCTCCACAAAAGTACCTCAGAGGTAAAAACCTGCTGCAGTAAGACCATTCTGCCTATCTTTTAAAAAAATAATACTTTAAAAACACAGTCCTGAAACATCCACCCTCCTTCAAACAGAACATATTTTCAAATACATACATTTCTGCGGTATTCTTTTATTATGGGTATATTAGTAGCTTTTACATTAACATTAGTCTGATCAGTTATCCTTAGAAGATGTTACTTGTTTGTATAAAGTTTTACCATATAAAAAAACTCAATGAAACTACAGTCTGGCTATTTTTATACGGCTTTGGGGTTTTTTTTCATTTTCATTTTATTAAAATTCTTTATGTACAAATTGATCTGTAACAGAAGTTTAGATCTAACATCTCGAAGCTCTTGCCTTTTATGGTACATCTTTGAATTATCTCTTGAGCACTCAGGAGCTCAGGAGCATCCAAAGATACCTAATTACATTTTGTACAAGTTATTCATTAACATAAAGTTATAATTCAGTATTTACAACAGCAAGAGCTGAGCATCAGCAACTTTATGTTTTGTTGCTTCATGATGCTTCAGTTTGTTCCTAATAAACAGACCTGTTCAGGAGTTAAACACTGAAGATACTCAAAATATTTGTCCCAAGGCAAAGTCTCAGTTCTGACTTTACACCTTTTTTTCCACTGCAAGACATGCAGCTGACAATATCAATCACACCGTGTTGCCCAGCACCCTCTTACTACAGGTAATTATTCCAGCTAACTTACCTGCTCAGTAACCCTAATTTTAAGCCGCTTCTTCCCAAAATCTGACACATCAAAACCACCTTGATACTTCCAAAAGCCTTTTACACAAACTTGCCAAATATCTAAAAGTAAAACACAGTATTTCCCTTCTGTTGTCATTATACTTCATAGAAACACAATTCCATGGAATTGGTTTCCTACCAAGGCTGTAAGTGAATCAGTCAACTTCAATTTATGAAAACCAAAAATGGATTATAAAGTTTCTAAATAGATTTAGAACGTAACAAAATAAAAAGACAATGGTGAAGGAGTTAAAAAAAAGATAGAGGAATCAATTGAGTTATTTGGATTTTTTTTTCAAAAATACCAAACAAACAGGAATTCAAACATTTGTGTCCTGCCTCAACCACCCTTTTTCAATTTTCTACCAAAAAGAAACCTACTTTCAAAAGCATATGTTTCTCACTGGGCGTTAGATACATTTTGTTTTCATAGTAGTCCACACACAAATTCACAATATCTGCAAGCAGCTCTTCATAGCCAACAATCACCTCCAACTGCTGCTGCAAAGACTGGAGAGAAAAAAAAAAAAAAGGCTATTAGTCAACTAGTTATACATACTTCCTGTGAATTAACAGTTACTACCATACTGGAAGAGTTTGATTTCAAGAGTTTTGTAAAGCATTAAGTACTTTGCAAAAAGATACTTGAAGCTTACTTGTGTGATTTTGTTATGGTTGGCAAGGAACATGGAGAGGTTCTGGGATTCTTGAATGGACTGAGGATCTGCCATTTTCCGCAAGAACTGAGCAGCACTTTGAAAACAGAAGGAAAAAAAATAACAACACAAAAACCCCAGTGTTTTCTTTCAGC